TTTGCACCTGGCCCTAAACCCTAAACCCTAAACCCGATAAACCCTAAAAGCCCCTGGCTCCTGCTGACCTAGGATACACAGGGATGGCCCCGAAGCGCATAGGGGCTCCGAAGTACGGGCCCTCGATTTGGGTCCTCTGTTATACACTGCTTCGCATCGTTTGAGAAAGCCCTTTAAGCAAGGGTACAAGGGACCATACGAAGGGCCCATGGTTCCAACCTTGCAAACCCTAACCCCTAACCCCTAACCCCAAAACCCCAAAACCCCAAAACTCCAAAACCCCAAAACCCCAAAACCCCACTAAACGCTACACCCTAAACCCTAAACCCTAAACCAAAACCCCAAAACCCCACTAAACGCTACACCCTAAACCCTAAACCCTAAACCCTAAACCCTAAACCCGAATGAAGCCCCGGAGCATCGCCGGTGACCAGGATCCGCCCTCCGCGCATGCAGACACCACGCCGGATGATGTAAAGAGTTCCTGAGGTGTTTAGGGTCAGGGTTTTCTAGGGTTTAGATGGTATAATGGGGTTTCTAGGTTATGAAGCTATCCTGAGATGTTTTAGGGTCAGGGTATTCTAGGCTTTAGAGGGTTTTGTGGGGTTTTTGGAGTTCCTGAGATGTTTTAGGGTCAGGGTTTTTGAGGGTTTAGAGGGTTTCTTGGGCTTTTGGGACTTCGGTTCCCTAGGTGTGTTTGGGTCAGGGTATTCTTGAGATGTCAGGGTGAGGGAAACTAGGGTTCAGCGGGTATCATAGGGTTTAGAGGGTTTCTAGGGGTTTCTGGGATTTATAGGGTTATGAAGCTATCCTGAGATGTCAGGGTCAGGGTATTCTAGGCTTCAGAGGGTTTCTTGGGCTTTTGGGGTTTCTAGGGTTTTTTTGTTTAGCGGTTTTTAGGGCTCTTGAGGAATTTTAGGGTTTAGGGTGTTTAGCGCGTTTTGGGTTTTTAGGGTTTGGGGCTTAGCTTTCGGGGTTTGCCTTGGGTGTGCATGAGGGTGAACATGTGCGCGGACATCGAGGGCTTCTGTATGACGGTGCTTCCTGTTGAAACCCCTTCAGGGCGGCGACTCGAACCAACAAAACGCACGCGAATCTTCACAATGCCAACCTTTCGAAGAAAAGGAAGTTGCAGCACGTGCATGTTCAACATCTGTGCATGCTGCAGACTAGATCTGCTCACGAGCACGCTAGAAACCAAAAAACGCACTGTAGCCAAAAACACCATAAAGCCCCATGCAACCGCCTGATGCCCCTCATCTACTCTGTTTGGCCCAGGCCGTATTGCAACCCTACCAAGCCTACTCGCTTGAATGATTGTGGGACCTGAGCACCGAAAAGGCGAAACCTTTGAGCACTGCATGAACCCTCAGGCCTACAAGCCCTAAACTCTGAAAACCTCCAAGCCGGAAACGCCTTAGAAGCCCGGTAGCCACATAGAGCCCCAAACCAGAGCCCCTAAACCAAACCCCCTGCACCCCAGAAGTGCTCCTGAATATGGACCCTAAACTACAAACCCTAAGCCTAAACCCTATCAACCCTAAACCCTTTAAGCCCTAAACCCCATAAACCCTAAACCCCATAAAGCCTATAAGCCCTAAAAATGCATCCGAAGGTGCTTTCACCGGAGATGGCCTCCGTGGGGGCGAACAACATCGGCTTCAACTTGCGTGCCTGGGGTGTCAGGTCTAGGGTTGAGGGTTTAGGGTTGAGGGTTTGGGGTGTAGAGGATTTAGAGTTTATGAGGGCATGGGGTCTGTAATTTGGGATGTTCCCCCTTTTACTAACAGTCCTTAATAGGGATTATAATCGGAGGTACTGTAATCATTAGAAAAAAAGGCGAACATCCCAATCTATGATCGTGTTTCTGTTGGGTATGATGTAGGGCGCTTGCTAGAGTGTGGGTTGAGGGGTTAGGGATTCTGTTAGGTGTAGGGGCGGTTGCTGGGCCACCAACGTAGGAGTTTGACACCATACTGCACGGTTTTGCTTTGCGATTGGGATCTTAGAGCTCTATCCAGTTATCTAGTGTTTCACAGGCTACGGAGAAGACAGGCCAGCATGAGTTCAACAAATAAGCAAATCTTGAAACACTAAATGAACAAACAGTTTAAGAAGTAACATAAATGCAGTAAACACACACATTTATATCCAAATAAATAAACAGATATGAATATAAATATAAATAAATATATATATATATATACATATAAAAATAAATATAAACAGAGATATAATATAACAACATATAACATAAATATGATTAAACATACTATACTATTATATACTATCATATATAAACGTGCGCGTATGTGTGCATGTACCTTGGGGACTAAATGAACCCTCAAAGGGTTTATGGTTCATATACCTTGTCAATAGGGAGTGTAGAAGTTTAGTAGTCTCGGGTATATGACCCCAAATTTACTTCATTTGGCCCTCACCCCGAAGCCCTGAACCCCAAACCTAAACCCTAAACCCTAAACCCTAGACCCTCGCCCCAAAGCCCTGAACCCCAAACCGCGCCGAGGTGCCACCTGGGCCAAAGTGTCTGGGCACATGGCCTTGACATATGGTACCTCGCCCGAGGCTTGGTTTAGGGTTTAGGGTTTAGGGTTTAGGGTTTAGGGTTTAGGGTTTAGGGTTTAGGGTCTAGGGTCTAGGGTTTAGGGTTTAGGGTTTAGGCTTTAGGGTTCAGGGTTCAGGGTTTAGGGTTTGGGGTTTACCTTTTCCTGCTTTGCCACCTGCCTCGCTGACACTGCAGGTAACAATCCGGGAAAAGCTTTAAAGGCGTTCCACTAAGCTCAGAGGGTTTAGGGATCGGAGGGGTTCCGGGGGTGAATCCTTGGGTTTCGAGGGACTTAGGGCCTTGGGTGCTTCAGGGGTTTTCGGGTTTAGGGCGCTAGGGTTTTAAGTGAGTTCTTCTGGTAGGGTTTAGGGTTTAGGGTTCAGGGTTCAGGGTTCAAGGTTTAGGGCCTGCGGTCGAAGGGTGTATATCTGGATGATAGATGGCTGGTCCCTGCTTGAGCCAGGTTGCTTCTGGGAGGAAGCCGCAGCCCTAACCCCGCAACCCTACCGTTTTCAAACGCTTAACTGAGTAATCCTAAATCCCAGTCACGAACCCAGATACCCTAAACCCTAAACGCTAAACCCGAAACCTTATGTCACCCTAAACCTCGCCAACAAAACCCCAGCAATGCGAGCACTTTGTGTATCCACTCGTCGACCAGCTGCTCAGACACTTCGCCTCGCTGACCATGGGATTCGGAATTTAGGGTTTAGGGTTGTCCCTGGGGTTTACTGGGGTAGGTTTGGAGGCCCTAGACAATTTGAATTTTATATGGCTTTATCAGGATTATATAGGGGAATCAAGGGGAATAAAAACGAAAAACTCTGTTCAAACCTTCCCCTGCTTAGAGGGCCCTACTTCAACCTTACTTGGGCCCGAAACCCTAAGTTTTGCGGCCTACACCTCTACATAAGCCGAATCCCTTTCGCGGTTATCAGGCGTTTCTTCAAGGAGTTGAGGCTGGGCTCCAGATGCGCGTGGCACCTGGAATGCCGAAACCTGAGGTTCTTCAGGAGCTCCCTATGGTGGTTTCCGAAACTAGAAGTACCTCATTATTGGGGTCCTTATTATGAGGGAATCCTACTATGTGGGGTCTACTATTTTAGGGGCCCTACGTCGCACAAGAATAGCGAGCCGGGACAGCCATAGAGGGCTGAAGCTGCTAGACTCGTGTCTACCTACATGGGCTATTATGCCCTATCACCCCTTAAACGGGCCCTTATAGAAGGGTTGGTTAAGGGGATTATAAGGCCTAGTAGCCCATGCTGGTACGAAGCGCTTTCTGGGTTGCCTCTTTCTGATTATGAGCGACCTGTGCCGACGATACTTACCGATGCTTCCATGCAGGTGAAGTTGTCTTACACACGGAAGGCATGCTAGCAATGCAGGCCAGCACATGCCGTCCTCCTGTCATCCTTCTTTGACGGAGATTGCGCACCATGCAAGTTGTGATTGAAATCGCGAGACATTTTTGGCTCGAAATCGCGCTCTCGCCTAGGTCCCGTGCGCATGCGGGTTTCATCCTGCTCGTCATCCTGCAAAACCCTTGAAAGCCCTGAGCAAATCCTCTAAAACTTCATTCCGTGCGCTCGAACTGAAGCTGCCTAGCTACTCACTCCTACACCCCTGTGTGGCCACTAATTAGGCCGCAAAACCATGAAGCAGTCCCTAAACCCTAAACCCTAACCCCAAACCCCTATCCAAGGCAGGACAGGGTCTCTAAGCTTGCAAACCTTCAGGCCATGGTTTTGCGAAAGAAATTCAGGCCCGGCACCCGCGCCCCCCAAAGCTCCTAATTAAACCTTTGAGCCTTCTTCTTTTTTCTTTCAAGGGAATTTGGCAGTGTGCGTGCAAAAGACACAGAAAAGCCAGGACCCGCTAAACCTTTGAGCCTTCGGTTCACCCAAAGCCCTCAACACTAAAACCCCAGAACTTTGTGTCGCAAAGGTTTGGGTGAATTACGGTGCAGGGGCTGAGGGCTCCAACCAAGCCTCGATGTTGAGGTGCCTTCTATGAAGAACCCTACCCTCAGCTCTCTAAACCCTAAACCCTAAACCCTAACATTCAATCTCTAACGGCTGAGCCATGAAGCTCTTCTGTCAAAGCCCCGAGAGTCTGGGTTTGGGGTGCAGGAACTCGGATTCAGGGTGTGGGAAGATCCAACTGTCCACCTCAACCTTCGACTCACCAGGCCCCTTTCCTTCATGGGTTTCCCTACTACCCCTCTATACTATCCCCCCCCTAGGTTCCCCCCTTAAATAACCTCTTTATTGGGCTTCATCATCCCTAAATAGCCTTAATTATGGGGGGAACCTAGGGGGGGGTAGTACAGAGGGGGGTAGTAGGGAGTCGCCCAACCCTCAACCCCAAACCCATTCAACCAACGCATGCTTACCCCCACATCCTAAAACTCCCAAGAAAAACGGGACCGGGGCTAGGCTTGCGGGGTGCGGAGACCACTAACCTCGGTTCAACTTTCAGTTCCTTAAGGTTCAATGTTTGGCCCAATGTTTCTGAATGCTCTGCCGTGCCAAGCTCCAACTCTTTTGTTAGCTCAACCCCACAAAGCCCAAAAGCCGTAAACCCGAATAACACTTAGGTCCTGAAAGCCCTAAAGCGAGAACCCTAAAGGCATAAACCCTACAAAGCCCAAAGCCCTGCAAAACCGAGAGCCCTAAAAGGAAATCATAACCAATTAGGCCTAAACCCTAAACTCTATACCTTAAGAAGGCCTACAAGCCTAGTCCAGATAAACCCTGTACTCCGCAAAAGCCCTTAAGCCCGACCCTATCAAAAGACGAGAACCCTGCTAAAAAAACCTTAAAAAGCCGAAAGCCCCATGAATAATGCACAAAACTGAGAACCCCAACACTAGTTACCCTAGTTGCCCTAGTTACCCTAGTTACCCTAAACCCTAAACCCTAAACCCTAAGCCCAGTCCCCAAGCAACTCTCCAAGGCGGGAGGCCCTGCAGCATTGGCGACATTTGGGCAATGATGGCCTTCTGCTCGTGGAGTCGGCAGAGGCTCCTACAGGAGGGGTCCCCTTTGTAACCCTAAACCCTAAAGGCCTAAACCCTAAACCCTAAACCCTAAACCCTAAACCCTAAACCCTAAACCCTCCCCCCCTGGCAGCAGCTGCCTTGGGTGCAGGGTGGAAGAACAAACAGAGCCATCAACGAGCTCCTCTCAAGACTGAAAGCCTTGCAGACCATGGCGCCGGTTTAGGGTTTAGGGTTTAGGGTTTAGGGTTTAGGGTTTAGGGTTTAGGGAGCCGGAGGGTTTAAAGCATTCCCCTGGCTCGAAGCGCAAGGGATGCAACACCTATGCGCTCACCTGTCACCAGCTCGTCGTGGGGTGTGCTTTGCAGGTGGTCAGCAAGTAGGGGAGCGGGGTTCTCAGAACGTTTTGCCCGCCCATGGTCTAGGACCTTGCATATTCCACCGCAACCGGTTAGGGTTTAGGGCTTATAGGGCTTATAGGGCTTATCGGGCTTATAGGGCTTCGGGCTTCTAGGGCTTACAGGGCTTCTTGGGCTTCTGGGCTTATAGGGCTTCTAGGGCTTCTAGGGCTTATAGATGCTTATCGGGCTTCTAGGGCTTAGGGCAAGGTTTAGGGGCCAACGAAACGCTCCTCGACTCGATGAAGTAGCGGCGCAGCTTTAACCGCAGTGGCTCAGGCATCTGGCTGTCCTCGCAGGGGTCTTGTGCAGGATCCGCCTAAACCCTAAACCCTAAACCCTAAACCCTAAACCCTTTTGCAACAGGCACCCTAAACCCTAAACCCTAAACCCTAAACCTTATAAACCCTAAACCCTAAACCCTAAACCCTAAACCCTAAACCCTAAACCCTAAACCCTAATCGACGTATGGGGGCGAGTCTACCTCCCCAACGGATTGAGTGCCGTCTGCGAAACCCTCTGAAAAAAGGTGACAAAAGGAACTGTTGAGCCTTGTAGTTGCCGGACCTCCCAAGGTTTATGGGATTTAGGTTCTGCAGGGTTTTGACTTTAGGGTTGAGGGTTTCGGAGTTTTTTTTGGTACTTGAGGTTGTTGAGTTCAGGGTTCAGGGGGCATCCCCGAAGCCCGCATACACAAGAGTGGTGGTCGCTGCATGCCAAACCACAGGCCTAAACCCTATACGTACCCTAAACCCTAAACCCTAAATCCTATAAACCGTAAACACCATGCCTTCAGGAGCCAGTTGAGATCGTCCATGGTCCGCTTGAAAGCCACCTCGCAGCCAAACTAAGGCAGTCTCTTTCAGGCAAATCTCCCTGAAACCCGAAACCCGTATCCCTAAACCCTCAACCCAAAATGAGCCCCCAACACTGGGGTCCTCTCTCAGACTCCCCGGAACTCAGCTCTTGCAAAACTTGTGGGAATGCTGAAATCGTTTAGTGCGTAAAGTCGCCCTAAGCCCTGTAGCCCTCAGAAGACTTCGCATCTTGGCGAAGCACCCTGTCTAGCGAATCAAGGCATCCACAAAGAGCCATAGCAAGCAGCACCGTCAACACAAACGCACACATCTGTACCAGCTTTCTCAAACAGGTAATTCGGCTCCTACAAACATGGCCCCAGTGGCCCGGAGCTTAGAGACCCACCGTTCAGCCACCCACATCTTGGAGGTTCCATCTGTCAGTACGGAGACAGGTATCGCCTGCACACCCTCTCCGAAGCTTCTCAGATGTCTTGCCGCTTGAAAAAAGCCCAGTTGCCCAAAGGCTTAGAGTTTAGGACTGTGTTTTTGATGTGGCCTTGGCTTGGGAGGAGTAGGGCTATTTAACGTCCGGGCGCATCATGTGGCAGCAGCGTCGCCACCACAGCACACATCCTGGGCTGCTCTGTGCCGGAACTTAGTTACATTCACGTACCATATGGATGCAGAGTACTTTGCTTTGCTTCGTTATGCTTGGTCACTACCCTTGTCCCATATTTAACCCAGGAGTACCCTTGTCCCTAAACCCTAAACCCTAAACCCTGAACCCTGAACCCTGAACCCTGAACCCTAAACCCTAAACCCTAAACCCTAAGCCTTACCGAAACCCTAAAACTGAATACCGTCATAACTTATGCTTCTTAACATCAACAAAGCATCTGGCCGATCACAAACGCCCAGACAGTGGCCATGGCGATCATGCAAAACGACGCCACCCAATACCTCGGTCAGACAGGCTTCCCTAAACCCTAGACGGCCCAGACCCTAAACTCTATAACCCTAAACCCAAAACCCCAAACCCTAAACCCTATAAACCCTAAACCCCCAAAAATGGGTTTGGGGCTTGGGGCATAGGTTTTTTTGCCGCCCGCCTAGCTGAGCTGCATGTCCTATAGGGCACGCTCTGTAGCCTCTGAGGATGAAGACAAAACGCTCGACAAGCGCTATACCCCTAAACCCCACACGAACTTGAGTGGCCGGCTGGAATAACTTAAACGGTTCATGCACATTGCTGTTCACCAGAAACACAAGAATGCGTTTTTGTGGAGAGTTGTCATGTTGTTTCATAAAAGTCGGGAAGCCAAAGCCAAGGGGCTCGGGTTGAGGGTTTAGAGCAGGGTAGGGGAGGCAAATTTAGGACTTTTCAGGATCGCTAAAACCCCCCCAAGAAGCCGAGAACGAAGCAATGGTTCAATCTAGGGTTGAGGGCTGATCCCTGAACCCTAATCTCACATCCCTCAACCGTACCGGAACCCTACACCCGAAGCCCAAAACCCCTAACCCTACCCCTAAACCCTAAACCCTAAACCCTAAACCCTAAACCCTAAACCCTAAACCCTAAACCCTAAACCCTAAACCCTAAACCCTAAACCCTAAACCCTAAACCCTAAACCGTCCGAATGCGAAAGCCAAGGTGCTCCTTCTCAGTCTGCGGCGTGATGTCCTCAGCGTTTCGTGGTTTGATGGGCGCGGGGGTTGCTCTCTTCGAGCCGCCCTGAAAAAAGGGGCATATATGTACATATATATATATAGACATATCGAAATATGTGTGTGTTTTGAAAAATGTGCATAAATACATACATAAATAAATCAATATGTATATATATGTATATATATATATATATGCTCATATGTATATACCAAAAACTGGGGTCCTTGATGTGTCATCACGTCCGCTCTATAAACCCTAAACAACGCCCAATCCAGCAAAGCCGCGCCATAGCCGATGCTCGTGAGCGTCATGATGGCCCAGTAGAGCGACAGACCTCAGCGAGCTGAAGAAGTCGCTGGGGACCACATGAGCCCCTTAGGAAAGGGCAAATTGCTTCATTATTACCTTAATAGTTCCCCCCTTATACTCACAGTCCTTAGTAGAGATTCTAGTACCCCCATTATAATCCCTCTTAAGGACTGCTAGTATACGGGGGACATCCCGGTTCTTCGGGGGTTCATTTCGTGCCCAGGGAAAGTGCCAAACTACCCATGCAGGAAGCTGCAGGCCTAAAGCGGTAAAGGACACGTCCTTTCAACCCTGGCACCTTTAAAACCCCAACGCCCTGAACGCTAGACCCTAAACCCTAAAGCCATAAACCCTAAACCCTAAACTCAGCACCCCCGAAGCACGGAAGAAAAAGAAAAACACAAACTGGGGTCCAGGCAATAGATGCCCGAACGTGAGCTGTAAGTGGACTTCAAGCCACCCTTCGCCGCCTATGGATGCCGCATCCATAAACCCTAAACCCTAAACCCTAAACCCTGGACGCGTGTGGACTATCTACGCTTGCGGCTTCTTCTAAAGAGATTTACTGCATATACTTACAAGAATGAATACATAGAAAGTACATATATACATATACGGATATTTATTTATACATTCCTGGCGATTCTTTCATTAAAGTCTGGTTTGTTCGGAAATAGAGGATTTAGGGACAGTTGCTGCCTGGGACCTGCTTTACCCACAGTTTTATGGGATATAATTACCTACTAACTGAGGGTAGTTGCTACTAAACTCTAGGTAAGTAAGAGACCCAGGTAGAGTCTGGTAGGACTTTCGAAGGTCGGGACTTCCGTCTTCAGCGTGCCCCGCTTCCGGTCAACACTAGGATTTAACGTCCAAAAACCCTAAACCCTACGGCCCTACGCCCTAACCACCCTAAACCCTTAAACCTTAACCCTTAACCCTAAACCCTAAACCCCACAGGGTACTACATTGGCACCTTCGGGCATGATGCAGCCGAGTTTATTTGGGGGTGTTTCTGGGGGTACAAGGCTTCAGACTTTCTCAAACCCCCGCACCCTACCCACCTCCGCAACCAAACAAGAAGCTACAGAGATTGAACTCGAACCCTAAACCCTAAACCCTAAACTCAATCTGGGCTTCGGAGCTGTCGTCACAAGGTTCCGTGTTTGTTCTGAGGGCTAGCATATAGGCTCTTTGCCCTCTTTTCAAGAGCTTTGCTTTACGAAGGCCGGTGGCCTCCTTCTGCTACCCTTATACCTTCATGCAGCCCCTCGATACCCCAATAAGAAGCCTACTTAAAGAGACCAACCCATATCAGCAGCTGGCTTTCTTGTCAGGGCTCGGGGTTCAGAGGCTGGGATGTTCCCCCATCATACTAACAGTCCTTAATAGGGATTCTAGTACTACCCCCCTATGATAATACCCTAAACCCTAAACCCTAAACCCTAGTCCCTATTAAGGACTGTTGGTACAAAGGGGCCAACATCCCGACCTAGAGGTCACCTTCTCAAGCCCCAGGTCAATGCAACTAAACGCCGCGCCGCATGGAAGAAGCCCGAGCCCTGCCTTCTCAGATCTAGTTACACACGCCCACCTAATTGTGAGGGTGCAGACATTTTGGGGTCTGGGGTTGGGGTTTAGGGTTTGGTTTAGGGTTTAGGGTTTAGGGTGATAACTTGGGAAGAATTCTGTCGCGAGTCCTCCACTGCCTTCAGCCAGGTAAAGGTGTCGGGAACCTGTGCGGAAGCGTTCGGGGATGAACGTCTAGAAGACAGAGGGGTCTGGATTTGCTTGATAAACCCTAAACCCTAAACCGTGAACCCTAAACCCTAATCCCTGAACCCTGAACCCTAAACCCTAAATCCTAAACCTTAAGGCTTCGAAGGGCGCGTTGAAGGGCTTTGAGCCGTGATCCTAACGACAACTCTTAACGCAAGCTTTGCCCTTCGACTCGACCCTGGTCCTGCCGTTTGCTACACCCTAAACCCAAACCCTAAGCCCTAAACCCGACATCTTGGGACGTTCCCCTTATGGGAATTCTGATAGGGGGTACTATAATCCTTAACAAGGACTGTTAGTAGAAAGAGGAACATCCCAATGGTAACCCTAAACCCTAAACCCTAAACCCCAAACCCTAAACCCGAAATTCCTACAAACCCTGTGAAGTTTAAGGGATTCAGGTCTAAGTGTTGAAGCTCTCCTGTTTTTTCTCACTGACCCCAAAACTCTAAACTACGTCAGCTTGCAGTCCCCAGGGGACTTCTCTCTTAAAATTAGAAACCCTTAGCCCCAAATCATGAGCCCTAAAGTATCATGTTCTGTACTACAAATACATCGAGGTCATAAATTGGCAATTCTTGAGGCTCCCGTGCAGCGCTAAAACAAACCTGAAGTTTTGCAAATGTTCGAGGTCTCAAGCACTTTCTCAGGATAGCTTTCTCCAGGTTCTCATGGTGGTCTTTAGCATCAAAAAGTAGCCAGACAGATTGTTGGTCGATCTTTCGAGAAAGCTGAAAAATATCGACATCAGCTTTCTCTCTTTAAAGCAGACTGGGAACCCGACATCTGGTCACAAAAACCAAAACCTGATATTTTCAAAATGTTCGAGAAGCTCCGGCCTCATATGCCACAGCTGCCCAACAGCAGGCCATCCAGTGGCAAGTCAAAGAAAGACCTCGGCTTCTTCACATGCGATCACCCTAAACAGGCACTCAGGGAATCTAGATTTTGGGGTTCTCAAGGCAACGCTTGCTCCGTGCTCCCACAAGCCCGTATGAAGCCGCGCCGCCGAAGACGAACTTCAGGAGAGACAGCAGCGCGTTGCTGATGCCTTGCGCAAAAAGTACCCCTAAACCCTATAGAGTTTAGGGTTTAGGGTTTAGGGGGTTCAGGGGTCATAACCCAGACTTACAGCCCACAAAAAGCTTCGGAACATCAGCACTCAGAGTGGCGACACCTGCATGGCTTGCTTTTGCACGAGCATGGAAAAGTAAGTACAATACTGATGCTGGCAAAAAGAGCAAGGGTCATAATAAGAATACGGAAGATAGTCATGGTCGGGCAAAAGCCGATGCAGTAGCAACCGGCTTTAATCAAATAAGCCAGACCCCCCCCCACCCCACCCCCAAAAGAAAAACAAATGTAAAAACAAAAACGCAAAAAACATTAAGTAGAATACATAAGTAATCGTAAGAATATCAATGCTAACAATCGACTCATCATCATCATCATCATCATCATCATCATCATCATCGTTATCGTCATCATCATCATCATCGTCATCATCATCATAACAATAGACACCTACACCCCTCGTTGCGTATAGAGAGTTAGGCAAGCCGTGGCCCCCGGGCCTATGCGGACCTGCCGCCGTGCAAGGATCGGGAAGATGCTGTGGAGGCGCAGCATGCGAACCTCTGGGACACGCTGCTTCGGAGCCTTATATCCTCTATAGGGGTTTAGGGTTTAGGGTTCAGGGTTCAGGGTATCTAGGGCCTTACGGCCCTAGGACCCTAGGTTCCCAACTCAAGCCGTGTAAGTGATGAAGCCCACAAAAAGCACTTCACAGCCCGTGCCTACGTGCCTTCTTGGGGTACTGCTTAGATATATCTTTTGCAGAAGTCAGGCCGCATTCGTGCTTTCTTTCAATCATCCACGTATGCACACGCTTCAAGTCAGGTTCGGGGTCTCGTTCTAGATGATGCTCCATTTTGACAGGGGTTTCTTCTAGTACATGTTCCCTGTAGGTTTAGGGTTTAGGGGTTGGGGTTTCGGGTGGGAAACCTGTAGAAGGCGGGCAGACTGGAGTGATCAGTTTATTCTGGACAGAGCGCAGAGGCTGGGTAGGAACGGGCGACTTCTGATGAAGATACACTCTCACTCAAACATAGATGGAAGTGGCTTAGGGAATTATGGTCCTTGTATTCCCTTGGGTATCCCCTTAAAGGGCTCTGATAACTTTTTGGCCACAACTCCCCCCCACAACAAAAAAGGCTTTGACGTGCAGTGCTTTGGGTCTTCGCTCTTAGGCGAATTTCGGCCTTTCGGATGACAGACGATTCTAGCTGCTAGCTCAGCTCCTCAAACTGCTAAGCCGTAAACCCTGTAGACCTAGATCCACTAAACCCTAAACCCTAAACCCTAAACCCCAAACCCTAAACCCTAAACGCGACAGCCTCAGCCTAGCGGGAGCAAATATTGGCCAGGCACCAAGCGGATTTCTGGAAGGGCTCCATTCTCGATGGCATGGCATGGCATGCTGGAGATGAGGTCCACCACAAACCTCTTCGGGTTTATGATCTAGGGTTTAGGGTCTAGGGTTTAGGGTTTGGGGTTTACGGTTTACGGTTTACGGTTTACGGGCTAGTCTGTAGGGTTCAGGGTTTTGAACTCAGGGTTCATATCCTGAATAGGAAGTAATTCATATATTGTAGGGCATGTGACCCCAAATATTGGGGGTTCATTTGGTTTTCCGGGATGGGGGCAGGATCTACAGTACAGGTTTGTGGAACGAGTGTCAGCGCCACTTCATTCCTGAGCCACGAACGATCTCCAGATAACTTTTCACATGGGAAGTTCTTTACAACCCTAAACGCTAAGCCCTAACACGAAAAAAGGGACCGTAATTTCGAGAACAAAACCACCGAACTGCCCATATGGTGTTCGGATTTCAACCTTAGTCTCATATGGGCAAGGTTTGCGTGGGTCTCCAACCGCTTCCAACCGTGACCCAGGCACCACGTCTTCAGGTACTTCACCGCGATCTTCCTGGTGGGACAAAGACGGAGTCTCCCTCCGATTCTCCCCATCTTGTGTCCCCATGAGCTAGAACAGCATAGGGGTTTTGGGTTTTAAGGACCCATCAGAAAAGAGGCACTGCCCCCCCCCGCCCCACCCCCACCCCCCCTTTTTGCCCCCAACCCCAAAGCAAAACAAAATTCAAAACGCCAAGCGGCGCAGCAGCCGAGAAAGTTTCGAAAAACCCGAAACCCTAAACCCGTATAAACCCGAATCAACGCTGACGGTTTAGTAATCTCTAGGGCCCGATCCCATACTTCGGATCCCTATAAACTACGGGCCCATGGTTCCAACCTTAGATATAATCAGATATAAGGATTCAAGGGTTTGGGGTTGAGGTGCTTCTTTCTGACCTTTGGTGCTGAACGCACCAATCAGCAAGCTCGCCGAACCTGGCAGTTGAAATAGATCTCTACATGCAGGGGTTTAAGGTTTTAGGGTTTAGACCAACAAACTGCGCCTCACCGCCCACCCGCCCCCCCGCCGCCCAACCCCCCGCGCCCCCCAGATTGCAGCAAGACACGCGCACAGCAGAGCAAAACAAGACCGCCGCCAAACTGCATTTCAAAACCCTAAACCCACCCCCTCGCAGAAGTGCAAAACAGATAAGCCCTGAAATCAAAGTTACCTTCACTGACCTTGCCCTTGATGGTGCAAAATGCGCAATCCTGCCCTTTGGCGTGTGGCTAGGGGGCTTTGGTGCTTAAAGGTTTTGGGTTTCAGGGTTTTAAGAGACTAGGGTTTTATGGTCGTCAAGGCTTTGGGGTTTGTACTAGGTTTGCTTAAGAGTTGTCTTAGGGTTTATGGTGGAGTTTAGGATGTAGGATTTTGAATGCCTACCTGCGAGTGAATATAGCGGTGAGCTCTCGTAGACCAACTGGTGTAGGCAGCACACTCTGTGTCGTGGTAGTTTAGGGAGTAGGGTTCAGGGTTCTATATAGGGTTTAGGGTTACCCTAAACCAGAAACCCCAAACCCTTTTGTATACAAGGTCTACGCATGCATCCAACCAGTCCTCGGATCTTTGATGTAACGCGATGGACACTTCTTGTCTGGATAAGCGATCAGCCTCGAGCGGCTTCGCGGGTTTAGGGTTTAGGGCTTCAGGGCTTCAAATCCCAAACCCACAAAACTCGAACCCTTTGACCCAAAACCTCAAAGTATTCCTTCTGTACTCCTGCACACCCTAAACTCCACAAACGCCTAAGCGTGCATATGCACGCACACGGTGGCACACGCGAGCATGGTGGCAGGGAGCAATTGGATGCCCATGTCCACGAACAGAATCACATCCTTGGCAGTTAGCTCCTATAAAGCCCCTCGACCCACACACGTGGGGATTGAGGGTTGATGGGTTTAGGGTTTAGGGTTTAGGGTTCAGGTTGGGATGCTCTTCCTTATACTAACAGGCCTTAGAACAGGGATTATCACAGGGGGCGTACTATGAGTAAGCCCTGCTAA